ACAGCAAAGAAAATGATGAAGGAAATGAAGAAAGTGCCTACAGAATGGGAGAAGATCATTGCCAGCCACTCCTCCAACAGGGGATTAATATTCAGAATATATACAGAACTCAAATACATACAACCAAAATCATCAAAATAATAATAATCCCAAAACAAACGGGCCAAAAAACTAAACAGAAACTTCTCAAAAGATAAAACACAAATGGCCAATATATATATGAAAAAATTTTCAACATTCCTTGTAATCCAGGAAATACAAATCAAAATTATACTAAGGTTTCATCTCACTCTAATCACATGGCCAACGCCAAGATCACAAATCATAGTAAGTGTTGGTGAGGATGAGGGGAAAAAGTACACTCATACATTGTTGGTGGGACTACAAATGAAGGCAGCCATTCTGGAAGGCAGAACGTAGATTCTTCAAATAACTAGGAATGGAACCACCACATGACCAGCTATCCCACTCCTTGATATTTTTCCAAAGATCGAAGATCAGTATCCTACAGGGACACAGCCATCTACATGTTCATAGCAGCACAATTTAGAATAGCTAAATTATAGAATCAACCAGATGCCTGTCTATAATAGATTCAGAAACCATGCTTTTTATAACTGTGCTCCCTGTTTTCTACTTCACAATTTTGAAGGAAATTGCGTGTCACTCCATCATGGTCACTTCCTGTTCTCCTCAGCCACAAAGAAGAATGATGTTATGACATTTGCTGGTAAATGAATGGAAATGGAGAACATCATGCTAAGTTAAATAAATCACACTCCCAAACATCAAATGTTTTCTCTCAGCCATGGACACTAGAGTTAAATAAAGAAAAGAAGGAAAGAAGAATAGAATAGAATAAAGACGTGGGAAAGGTCAGTAGAATAGAATAAGGTGATCATGAATCAAAGAGGAGGGATGGAAAAAGAGGAAATGCAGCATTAATTCCTTAAAAATCATGTTATGTGCAAATAAAAATATATCACAGGGAATTTTACATTTTGTATAAATCAAAAGAACTAATAAAAAATAAAGGAAGACATGGGTCAAAGCAAGTCTAGAAGAAATTAGGAAGAAGAATTGGGTGTAGGGTGAGGACAGGAGGAAAAAGGGGGCATCCAGAAATGAAACCCCAAATTCCATGCATGTATGGTTTTTGTCAGGATGAACCCAACTGTTATGGGTAACCATAATCCTCTAAATAAAAAAAATCTTTGCAATGATTGGCCATGACAGGAGGTGACCCAGTTCCTCCCCAACATTGAGCAGACCTCAGGTGCCTCCTCCTCCCTATGCTGAGTAGCTCTGTGTGTAGCTGCTACAGAGTGAGGCCACCAGCCAGCCACATCCAGGATCTCAGGATCAGCAGTCTAGGACACATCATGCTTGTCCTGGGACTCCCAAATAGACTGTCACTAAGACCCAGGAAGCTACGAGGGGCCTTGTGAACCAGCACAGGCCCAGAAGAAGGAGGCCTTATTCCTCAAGACCTGTCCAGTTCCTTCTGAAAACTGAGCATGAGAAACCCTAAAATTTGCTGCCTGTGCTCCCTGGTCACTACATCACAATCTTCAAGGAAACTGTTTGTCACTCCATCACTGTCACTTCCTCTTGCAACAACAGAAGCTGGGCATCTATTTCTCCATAAAGCAGATTCAGTGACCTCCCCAGCACAGACACTGGGACAGAGCAGGCTCCTTAGAGCTCACGATGTCTGTGCCTGCCTCCCAGCTCAAGTGTCCTGGTCCTGTCCTGCTGCTGACCCTCCTGCTGGGACTCACAGGTGAGTGAGCACTGTCTGGGGAGAGTCCTCTGTCCTGGGCCCTGGGCCAGCTCTGCCCATGGACTTCAGGGACTCAGGACAAACACAGACTCTGCCACGGAGGCTGGGACAGGGCATTCTCTGGAGCCCAGACCAAGGGTCCTGAGCAGTGTCCCTGGGAGGCCTCCCCTGCAGCTGGGGCCAGAGGCGTCACATCAGCTGATCCTTTAAACAGCAGCGACAAGAATCACCTGCATATTGTAATATTTCACCGACAGAATAACTTTCCAGAAGGACCATTGTTTATATCCTGAAATTCTTGAGATCCCAAGAGGCAAGTTGAGGTGACCTTCTCAAGACCATGGAGAATGT